TCACCAAAAGACTCGTTGGCATCCTCTCTTCAAAAGCCCTGATAGCCTGGACTGAGTTTGCTCCTCCATTCGCCATCGAATCAGAAAGTGTATTATGGTTAGCAGACAAAATTAAACTTTGGGTGGTAAATTGGTATTTTGAAACTTTTTGGATGGGAAAGTGTCATTAAGGCAAACCTTGGGTGGGAAAAAGTTGTTTACTCTTTTTCTAATGGTTTCACTATGTTCTCGTGAACATACACTTCTTAAAAGGCTTAGAGACAATGGAAAAATACTTGTTCTGTGTCTATATGTTGACGATATGGTGGTAAAGATATTTCCATGATTGACAACTTTTAGAAAAGTATGTGATAATTTAATACGTTAGATTTGTGATCCATGCATTATTTCTTAGGATTAAGTTATACAATCCTTTACTGGTATTTTCACATAAAAGTAAGTTCTTGAGATTATAGACTGTTCAAATAAAGAATTATATTTCAATTTGTACTCCAACTGAATATGCCTTAAGGTTGGTGAAATGATGGAGTGAAGAAGATAAATGCTAGTCTTTGTATGGACAAAAATTCGTATCGAACCTGACAGGCCCATACAAAAGCTCAGTGCCAAGGCCCAACTTTGGTTGGTTTCATGCCAAAGACCACTCCATGAATTAGCTAAACCACAGTTAACCTTTCTACGATCTAGGCTGCTACACCCATTAAACCCATCTATGAGTCAGGCTCAAGACTCACTCCTCAGGACTCTGAGTCAATTAAGGATTCGTCACCTCTGGGACTCCGATCCTACCACGAATTCATATACTCAAAAAGGTTCCAGTCTAATACAACTCTTCTCTTCGAGTACTCTTAGTTCCACAAGAACTAGTACTCCACTTTATAAAGGACTAGAACTCCGAGTTCTACAAGGACTTGGATAACCTTGGCTCCCTATAATTCAGAGGTCAAGCCTCCCAAAACTCATTCACATACAACCCTCACTAAGCTTCTTTTGTTATTGCTCTCTTAAGAACCCCATTTCTTGCCGTAGGGTCAAGTTCCAACCACTCAGTCGATAGTTGCGCACCCCTCCATGCTCACAATAAACCCTACCTTGCCTCATTAAATTTCCCTCACAATCGTGCTGACTTGAGTATCAGAGTACCTACGGCCGACACCACACCTGTGTCCCTAGGCTTTGCTTTCACTCTTCCTGTCTCCTCTATAGGTCTACAATTGTTAGTGACCTCTTCCTCCCAGGATTATCCTCACAAAATTGTGTTAGATTTCGACAAGATAAAATCCTAATACAATCTAGGAATTCATTTTGCATGTACACCAACCCAAATCCTATTGCAACGACTATACCTTTTTCAGTTTCCTCTAATTTCAATTTGGGGCATTTAACTATACATTGAACACAATCTTATAATTTTCTTGATCAGGTCCATTTCATAGTTGAAATTTTCAACACTTCAATTAAATGATGTTCAGGCCGTCTTTAATATCAAATTTCTCACCCTTAAATACTTCTTCGATACTATTAATTGTGGACTTATCGATTCAACAACATCCTACACGCATCAATCATCTACACGTTTGTTGAGGGTTTGTTCATGAGAGTGCATCTACGGAAGCTAAGAACTACTATAACAGTGCAACTTAACCTAGAGGGAGGGATGAGGGGTAAATAGGCTCTAGCTAGACCTTGCTGCTATTACTTACTTATCTCGACACCTTAATTATCTTTCATATTCCTGATTAACTCAAGTTACTCTTTGTCCTATCATTAATTACATGTATCAAGTTCATTCAACCATTTGGATGTCCAGTTCAACATTTAATTAACAATCTAAAGCATACCATGTTTAGTTCATAATTAAGCATATCTATATTTGTTCAGTTAATTAAGACATAAATAATCAAACCATATCCAAACATCATCCACAATTCACACGATATTTTTACATGAACCAGGGAAAAACCACAGGGACCTTAGTCACTACAAAGAAAACACAAATCCACTATGAATTTGATAAGCAATTCTCTGGCACAACGAATTCTCCAACTGTAGAATTCCAAATTTCAATCTCACTTATATTAATACCCTAATGACTTATATGATCAAGTAAATAGTCCTTAGCTTAATCAGACAATATAGTTATCCTCTAAGCTCTTTCTTCATTTCTAAGACTTCCAAACAATTCAATAAACAAAATACTTCTCCAATTCATTTGTCCACAATGTTCTTCATTCTTAGCTAAACTAAACTATTCACTCAAACTTCAGTTACTAATCTTAACTTTTGTTTGTCCATTCTAATTTCCTCTTCAATTGTTTTGTTATATATACATAAACGCTCACTTTTTCAAGGAGTTGTTGATTATCTATACATTTTTCTAATAAACTGGTTAATTACAGAAAATAATAATTATGTACATGTAACGTATATATAATAACTTTATCAGATATTTTGGTTTACTTAATTAGCTCTACTTATGTTCATTAATAAACACTTATTGTAACTCACCATGTAGAACGTCGATTTCACATCTAACTGATAGGTAATCCACCAATTCTAGGCATCAATGGAGGGTAACAATCAAATGGTGTCTAACCTTGCTATGGGAGTGAATACTTACTACAAGAAAAATAATTTTTAACAACAAAAGTTTTGGCGTCGCAACATTCTATCTTTCATGCACCAAACATGTGTCATAAAGCAAACCATCTTTTGCAAGCTTATTTGAAGCCTTAAAGTATGGGTATGTGAGAGCTTATATGCTCATCATATATTTATCTCTATGGACTGCCATTTGCTTTTGTTGGAATTGGAAGCAATATACTCTTAACTTTACTGAAGGAAACAATGAACTCTCATAATTTTTCATTATGTTTAACTACTTTTATACAACAAAGGAAATACTACTTCTACTTCAAAACAGATTCTACTTTCCTAGTTAGATACAAACCAACTCTTATGAACAATATTCCTAATCAAGTTCTACTTCCCTAATTGACTCAACCAAATCTCTTATGAAATAGAGTTATTCTAAAACTAGAATACTAAAAAACAGGAAAAAGAATAAAGCTGGAACTTTGCGGTCCAGACGCTCGCCGCTCTGTTTCTTCTTCATGTTCAGTGCTGCTTCTCAGCGCTCGCTCAGCAACCATTTCTTTAGCTGCAGCGATCGTTGTCGTCTGTCTTTCTTTCTTTTCTTCACCGAGCACGTTTGTGTCACGTCATGCGTTTACTTCTTCCTTTTTTCTTCTTTGTGTCTTCAACTTGAGCCATTTTTGAACTTTCTTGTTTCTTCTTTGTTTCTTCAACTTGAGCCATGTTTGCACGCACCAAAATAGGTTCATTTTTCAACAGCTTTTTACTTGGGGATATTATGCTTTAGACATGTTTAAAGAAGTTTTACATCTTGTTACTTGCCTTGGAAGTAATCTGGAAACGAGAGAAAGAAAGAGCAAGCAGCAATGGCAAAACCTTCTCCTGATCAAGGAGAGCCAAGTAAAAGTATTGAAAAAGACTGAGGGTCAGTCTTCAACCTGAAGCCATTTTCAGTGAAGAAGAGAAAAATCTACTCGAGTTGAAGATTACACAGACAAATAAGAAGAGGAAACAAGAAGAGTTTCAGGAAAAAGAATAATTGAATGAGGATCTGAAACTAGAAATGTAGCATAAGAGCAGGGCAGAGTTAAAGAGATAAGTAGATGATACGAGGGCTTTAACTGATATCTTAGAGAATATATGACTTTGAGTTTAAAGCACACAAAATGAGTTAAGACAAATTGTTATTGAAATGGATGTGTGATTTTACAAAGAGAGTCTAGTATTTATAGCCAAATACGGCCTCAATCACCAGTAAAATATATAACTCTAAATTTAATGCTTCATAAGTAAAAGTAGTTGTTAATTAGTGTCCAAGTGGAAAACAGGTACATTACAATTAAGAGTTAAATAATACATTTTTTTTTTTTTTCCCTATAAAAATGTTGTGCTTGATTTTGACATCGTGGGAAATGCTAAGAACTTAGAAGTCACACGTGATATGAGAATATTTAGTTAATAAAGGGGGAGAAACAATGTTTAAAGTGTTTCGGATACTCAAAAGCGAACTCTACGTCCACTGATATTGTATTATGAATAGGGCAAGTTCGCATTAAGCGAGCTGAGTTACAGCTTAGAGAATACAAAGGAGAGAGAGAGAGAGAGTAAGCTATTCTAGAATAAAATTATCTAATCCCGCAAATGAGATTTTCGTGTGGGCTGCACACTCCTTGAGCATTTTAATATAACTATAGTGCATTTCCCGCGTTGCACTGAGAATCGTTAAATTAGAATATTCCTAATTAGAAGTTAAATTGAATAATTTTCCTTCTCATTCCCGTTATTATAAATTATTTGATGATAAGGAATTAACCATTGATCCACATTCTCGAAAGAATTTTTGTCATTACACTCTCCATTAATTGTTAAACTTTTCTGTGATCTCTCTTTCTCTAGTGCCTTCCTATTCAGCAATCCATACTGAAAATCTGTATTTATGATTTGATTCATCAAGTTATAATGTCCATCTAATTATTCATGCATGTTAGATGTACTAATATCAGTTATCACATAGATTTTTATTCAGTTTAAGAATCATCAAGTATGTTGATTTTTAAGGATAAAAAACGGAAAAGAAAATAACATATGTTATAAGAATTATAAATATATTCACTTGTTATATAGCATTGAATTGGTTACTCCTGGATAGATGCAATAACAATACATCTAATAAACCGAATTAACCTAATCAGGCCTCCTTTCGTGGTGGGTTCATTTGGTTTTATTTTGTTTTACAGTGATAAGCACATTGATTAAAGAAAGAATTTTTAAATTAGTTTACTAAAGGAGCCTCTTTTCTCACACTATCTTTTCATTTCTGGCTTATTATCTGCCAGTGTTAGTGTCCACAAGTCCAACACCACTGGAAACCCCTATAAATTCTCCCATTTGGAGCGTGTGTCAAGCACAAGCCACCATTAATCTTCTCTTCATATCTTCTCCACTTATTAATCCTTGCTTCTCCTTTAACTCATGGCTGCCCAAAGACCACTTGAACACCAACAACGTCCATCCGTGGAAATATCTTCCATCCATGTGAACGATCATGAGAAAAACCAACACCAATTACAAGAAAATGAGTTTGACTACTCTCAAAGGGCACAGTGGCTTCGAGCTGCTGTATTGGGAGCCAATGATGGGCTCGTTTCTGTCGCCTCACTAATGATGGGTATTGGAGCTGTCAAAAAAGAAATCAAACCCATGCTTCTTGCTGGTTTTGCAGGCTTAGTTGCTGGCGCTTGCAGTATGGCCATTGGAGAGTTTGTCTCTGTGTACACTCAGAGGGACATAGAAATAGCTCAAATGAAGAGAGATCAGGAAAGAGCTCAAGCAAGAGGCGATGATAGTGAAGAAGAGAATGGAAGGGAGGAACTTCCGAATCCTGCACAGGCTGCAATGGCATCCGCTCTTGCGTTTTCAGCAGGAGCAGTTGTGCCATTAGTGGGGTCTGCATTTATAAGAGACTATAGAGTGAGACTTGGGGTGGTGGTTGCACTGGCGAGCATGATGCTGGTGGCGTTCGGAACAGCGGGAGCGGTGCTCGGGAGGACTCCGGTGGTGAAGTCGTGTGTTAGGGTACTGATCGGAGGCTGGATGGCCATGGCCCTCACCTTTGGGCTCACCAAGTTAATTGGCTCCGGTGGGCTAGAAATGTGAATGGCTTTGTTATCGTTATTAAATGCATCCTTTGGTTTTTTATTGCAGCGTGACTGGTTTTGTTTCGTTTGTGTAACATGTTATGCTTCAATGGATCAAATTAAAATAAAAGAAATAAACTTGTTTCATATAAGCTAATACATATACTACATGATTACTACGTTATCTTATATTACTTACGTTATCATTGTTGGTTGTCAAGTTATATAAAATTCTGGTAATCTTCTAAAACTAATAGTAATTACTGTTAGTTATATCTGTGCTAATCTGAATACTACCATTTTCTTAGGTGTTTTAATATTTTTTGGTAATCTTAATTTTGTTACAATTTTAACCTTAACTATTAAAATTTTTGGACAATAATGCCCTTTGTTTAGAAAACAATTTATAAAAATATTTATAGACTATTTTATTCTTATATACAAAATTTTTAGGACATAAATACCCTTGAACTTAAAAAAATTACCCCAAGACTAGTGGTCGAATTTGGCCACCATCGACCGACGAGCGTCGGAATGGCACACAACCGGCCAGATCCATGGCCGTTAACGACCAAAGATCTTACCAAAAACGACCAGATCGACACACAATTGACCATATTCGACCGATCGTGCGCTGTTTCGACTACAATTACTAGTAGCTGATGGTGGTGATTTGTAATTTATATAAATTACCCACCAATTTATTTATCCCAACCAAACATATCAATATAACATACTCACCAATTTATTCCAATATAACCAAACGCATTTAATATAACACTCCCAGTAATCTTCAAGGTAATCTATCTTCCCCTTAATATAACATTCCCTGAATCAAACGCATCATTTGAGTATGTAAAACAAGGCCAAGAAAACAAGGTATATAAATTAAAAAATGCATTGTATAGACTCAAAGAATTACCAAGAACTTGGTATAGTCGTATAAATGCTATTTTTCTAAGAGTAAACGACTTTTTCCCACCTAAGGTTTGCCTCCACCCAAAAAGTTTTAAAATACCAATTTACTCCCCAAACTTTATATTTCGTTACTGCCCAAAATACACTTCCCTTAGGGTTTGCGATTTGGCAACGAACGGAGAGTAAATCAGTCAAGCTATTGGAGCTTTTGAAGAGGGAGACCGATGAGTCTTTGGTGTAACAGGTTGGTTTTGATGGTCATGATTGGTCAGAATTTGACTTTGGAGGGGTGGTTGCACGTTTCACAAATCGCTCGATTGCCAACAATTGGCAGGGTCGATGGGAGCAAAGTTTGAGGGTTTTGGTAAATGATGATCGAGGAAGAAAATGGTGGTGGTGTGGGGTCGTAACGATGTTAAATCGATCGGTGAATGCGCTCCACCAACTCCGCCAATCGCTAACTGGTCTGGCATCATTGTGATCTCTACCACCACCATTCTCTTCCTTGATCATTACTCACCAAAACTCTCACACCTTGCTTCTTCTAACCCCATCAATCGCTGACAATCAAGCAATTTGTGGCATGCGCAGTCGCCCCTCCCAAGTCAAATTCCTACCAATCTTGACCACCAAAATCCAACCTACCATCACCAAAAGACTCGTTGGCATCCTCTCTTCAAAAGCCCTGATAGCCTGGACTGAGTTTGCTCTCCATTCGCCATCGAATCAGAAAGTGTATTATGGTTAGCAGACAAAATTAAACTTTGGGTGGTAAATTGGTATTTTGAAACTTTTTGGATGGGAAAGTGTCATTAAGGCAAACCTTGGGTGGGAAAAAGTTGTTTACTCTTTTTCTAATGGTTTCACTATGTTCTCGTGAACATACACTTCTTAAAAGGCTTAGAGACAATGGAAAAATACTTGTTCTGTGTCTATATTTGACGATATGGTGGTAAAGATATTTCCATGATTGCAACTTTTAGAAAAGTATGTGATAATTTAATACGTTAGATTTGTGATCCATGCATTATTTCTTAGGATTAAGTTATACAATCCTTTACTGGTATTTTCACATAAAAGTAAGTTCTTGAGATTATAGACTGTTCAAATAAAGAATTATATTTCAATTTGTACTCCAACTGAATATGCCTTAAGGTTGGTGAAATGATGGAGTGAAGAAGATAAATGCTAGTCTTTGTATGGACAAAAATTCGTATCGAACCTGACAGGCCCATACAAAAGCTCAGTGCCAAGGCCCAACTTTGGTTGGTTTCATGCCAAAGACCACTCCATGAATTAGCTAAACCACAGTTAACCTTTCTACGATCTAGGCTGCTACACCCATTAAACCCATCTATGAGTCAGGCTCAAGACTCACTCCTCAGGACTCTGAGTCAATTAAGGATTCGTCACCTCTGGGACTCCGATCCTACCACGAATTCATATACTCAAAAAGGTTCCAGTCTAATACAACTCTTCTCTTCGAGTACTCTTAGTTCCACAAGAACTAGTACTCCACTTTATAAAGGACTAGAACTCCGAGTTCTACAAGGACTTGGATAACCTTGGCTCCCTATAATTCAGAGGTCAAGCCTCCCAAAACTCATTCACATACAACCCTCACTAAGCTTCTTTTGTTATTGCTCTCTTAAGAACCCCATTTCTTGCCGTAGGGTCAAGTTCCAACCACTCAGTCGATAGTTGCGCACCCCTCCATGCTCACAATAAACCCTACCTTGCCTCATTAAATTTCCCTCACAATCGTGCTGACTTGAGTATCAGAGTACCTACGGCCGACACCACACCTGTGTCCCTAGGCTTTGCTTTCACTCTTCCTGTCTCCTCTATAGGTCTACAATTGTTAGTGACCTCTTCCTCCCAGGATTATCCTCACAAAATTGTGTTAGATTTCGACAAGATAAAATCCTAATACAATCTAGGAATTCATTTTGCATGTACACCAACCCAAATCCTATTGCAACGACTATACCTTTTTCAGTTTCCTCTAATTTCAATTTGGGGCATTTAACTATACATTGAACACAATCTTATAATTTTCTTGATCAGGTCCATTTCATAGTTGAAATTTTCAACACTTCAATTAAATGATGTTCAGGCCGTCTTTAATATCAAATTTCTCACCCTTAAATACTTCTTCGATACTATTAATTGTGGACTTATCGATTCAACAACACTCCTACACGCATCAATCATCTACACGTTTGTTGAGGGTTTGTTCATGAGAGTGCATCTACGGAAGCTAAGAACTACTATAACAGTGCAACTTAACCTAGAGGGAGGGATGAGGGGTAAATAGGCTCTAGCTAGACCTTGCTGCTATTACTTACTTATCTCGACACCTTAATTATCTTTCATATTCCTGATTAACTCAAGTTACTCTTTGTCCTATCATTAATTACATGTATCAAGTTCATTCAACCATTTGGATGTCCAGTTCAACATTTAATTAACAATCTAAAGCATACCATGTTTAGTTCATAATTAAGCATATCTATATTTGTTCAGTTAATTAAGACATAAATAATCAAACCATATCCAAACATCATCCACAATTCACACGATATTTTTACATGAACCAGGGAAAAACCACAGGGACCTTAGTCACTACAAAGAAAACACCAAATCCACTATGAATTTGATAAGCAATTCTCTGGCACAACGAATTCTCCAACTGTAGAATTCCAAATTTCATCTCACTTATATTAATACCCTAATGACTTATATGATCAAGTAAATAGTCCTTAGCTTAATCAGACAATATAGTTATCCTCTAAGCTCTTTCTTCATTTCTAAGACTTCCAAACAATTCAATAAACAAAATACTTCTCCAATTCATTTGTCCACAATGTTCTTCATTCTTAGCTAAACTAAACTATTCACTCAAACTTCAGTTACTAATCTTAACTTTTGTTTGTCCATTCTAAATTTCCTCTTCAATTGTTTTGTTATATATACATAAACGCTCACTTTTTCAAGGAGTTGTTGATTATCTATACATTTTTCTAATAAACTGGTTAATTACAGAAAATAATAATTATGTACATGTAACGTATATATAATAACTTTATCAGATATTTTGGTTTACTTAATTAGCTCTACTTATGTTCATTAATAAACACTTATTGTAACTCACCATGTAGAACGTCGATTTCACATCTAACTGATAGGTAATCCACCAATTCTAGGCATCAATGGAGGGTAACAATCAAATGGTGTCTAACCTTGCTATGGGAGTGAATACTTACTACAAGAAAAATAATTTTTAACAACAAAAGTTTTGGCGTCGCAACATTCTATCTTTCATGCACCAAACATGTGTCATAAAGCAAACCATCTTTTGCAAGCTTATTTAAGCCTTAAAGTATGGGTATGTGAGAGCTTATATGCTCATCATATATTTATCTCTATGGACTGCCATTTGCTTTTGTTGGAATTGGAAGCAATATACTCTTAACTTTACTGAAGGAAACAATGAACTCTCATAATTTTTCATTATGTTTAACTACTTTTATACAACAAAGGAAATACTACTTCTACTTCAAAACAGATTCTACTTTCCTAGTTAGATACAAACCAACTCTTATGAACAATATTCCTAATCAAGTTCTACTTCCCTAATTGACTCAACAAATCTCTTATGAAATAGAGTTATTCTAAAACTAGAATACTAAAAAACAGAAAAAGAATAAAGCTGGAACTTTGCGGTCCAGACGCTCGCCGCTCTGTTTCTTCTTCATGTTCAGTGCTGCTTCTCAGCGCTCGCTCAGCAACCATTTCTTTAGCTGCAGCGATCGTTGTCGTCTGTCTTTCTTTCTTTTCTTCACCGAGCCACGTTTGTGTCACGTCATGCGTTTACTTCTTCCTTTTTTCTTCTTTGTGTCTTCAACTTGAGCCATTTTTGAACTTTCTTGTTTCTTCTTTGTTTCTTCAACTTGAGCCATGTTTGCACGCACCAAAATAGGTTCATTTTTCAACAGCTTTTTACTTGGGGATATTATGCTTTAGACATGTTTAAAGAAGTTTTACATCTTGTTACTTGCCTTGGAAGTAATCTGGAAACGAGAGAAAGAAAGAGCAAGCAGCAATGGCAAAACCTTCTCCTGATCAAGGAGAGCCAAGTAAAAGTATTGA